TAACTACATGTACAAAAGAAAGCCTTACATAATAAATAGGTCTACCGGGTCAAGTAGGAGAGTGATGGAAGCAAGAGGTACATGGTCAGATTAGTTGTTAAAGGGTTCCAATAGCGGGAATGAGTGGATTATATGAAGATATTTTCCCCCGTCGTAAATCTTACAACCATCAGAGTGGTGTTAAGCTTAGTAGCTGCTGAAAATCACTACCTTGTGCAGTTGTATATGAAGACTGCCTTTCTTCATGGTGACTTGGATGAAGAAATCTACATGAAGTAACATGTTGGCTTCATTGAGGAAGGAAAGAAAGAGATGTTGTGTAGGCTCAAGATGAGATTATATGGTTTGAAACAAGCTCTGAGACAATGGTACAAGAAGTTGAACAACTTCATACAGAGCAATGGCTATGGAAGATGCAATTAAGATCATTGTTGCTACTTCAAGAGGTTCGAGTCCAGTTATATCGTGTTATTATTGTATGTTGATGACATGTAAGTTGCAGAACCATGTTTAAATGAGATAAACAAATTGAAGAAGCAATTAGCAAAGGAATTTACTATGAAGGATCTGGGTGTAGCGAAACAAATTCTTAGGATGCGAATCAGTAGAGATGAAGCTGAAGGGACGTTGAGGTTGAGTCAGGCTGAATATATCGAGAAGGTACTTCAGAGATTCAACATAGAGAATGCTAAGTCCATCGACACGCCCCTTGGAAGTTAATTCAAGTTATTTGAGGAGCAATCACCCAAGATATATGCAGAGAAGGAGCACATGAGCAAAGTGCCGTATTCATCAACCATTGGTAGTATTATGTACGCGATGGTTTACACGAGGTCAGATATGGCCTACGCAGTGGGAGTTGTGAGCTGGTTTGCAAGCAATCTATGAAAACAAGATTGGGAGGTCGTGAAGTGGATATTGCATTACTTGAGAGGGACTATGGATATGCCACTATGTTTTAGGAGGAAGGAGTTGGTACTACGGGGATACGTGGATGCATATTTCGCTGGTGATCATGATACGAGGTAAAGCACCATGGGGTATGTTTATACATTAACGTCGATAGTAGTGAGCTGAGTCTCAAGTCTGCAGAAGATAGTAATATTTTCCACGACTAAGGAAGAGTATGTCGCAGTGACTGAAGCCAGCAAGGAGATGGTTTTGTTGACTGGGTGCCCGTAAAAGTTAGATCTGAAATGGGGGAACGACGTACCTTTATTGTGATAGCTAGATTGCTATACACCTTGCCAAGAATCTAGTATATCATGTCAGAACAATGTACATCGATATACGTTACCACTTCATACGCTCGCTGATTGAGGACGACAAGTTATAATTGGAGAAGATTTTTTAGGGAGTCAAAATCCTACGGATATGTTGATGAAAATAGTAACCATTGACAAACTGGAGTTCTGCATAACTTCAGTTAGACTTCACGCGTAGGTGATGAAGGCAGAGCCACACTAGGAGGATATGCGGGATCGCTGAGATGATGATGATTGAAGAATTGTTTTCGGGCAGGAGAAGATACTTGCGAAGAAGGCGGGAGTTCGGGAGAGCTCATTGATGGTGGTTTCGTCTCCAAGTGGGAGATTATTGGTTTTGGAAGTGTGAAGACCTAAACCTAAATCAAATTTAGCAAGGAAGCCGAAAAACCCAGCATCGGTCAACCAATGGACGTGTGCCGGTCGATCGAAACACCTGCAGAAAAATAGCCCAGGAAACTCGCTCTGGCTGATCGACTAAAGTTTGCTGACAGTCGACCGAGAGTGGTCAACTGGTCGGCCGATGCTAGAGCACCAATCAACCGACGCTAGAGCACCAGCCGACCGAAACGTGCATGAGCAGACTGTAAAAAATCTGTGTTTCGGCCGGTCGACTAATGCAATTACACCGGTCGACCGACGACGGGATTTCCAGATTCCCAATTTGTTTAGGAAACTATTTTTGGGTTGGGATACTATATATACCTTGATATGTTTTTAGGATTTGTAGAACACGAAAAAAGAGGGGTTTTGACGGCTCTTTGAGATCAGAGATCTTAGAGAGATGCCTATTGCGAGCATTGTAATCTTCTTTAATTAATCAAAGTTTTCTGGTGTGGCTCCTGAGGACATAGGCACGTTTGCCGAACCTCATTAAATATGGTGTTCTCATGTTTGATTACTTTTTCTTGCAAGTTTTTCTTTTATTTGTTGTGATTTCCTATTTGCTTACTTTCGACACAAAATCCGGAAGAGCAATAGTTGTGTGTTCAACCCCAGCATTATCCACAACTTTGGAACTTCGATATCCATCATCTAGATAATCATGGCCAAAGCATACCAAAGCCCAAGGCTCAATGGTCTGGCCAATCTTATCCTGATACTCAATCTGATGTCAGATAAAACCCTACAAGTCTAATTTCAAAATAGAAATTAGTTTTGAAGGATAAGAGAAATAGTTGAAAGCTTTTTGTGCTTTTATTTATTTATTTATTTTTGAGAGAAATAGTCAAAAGCGTTTTATCTGCTGCATTACATGAAGCATGCCAAAATTAAAATATTATCTCCTCACTTTTGTGTCTTCATTAGATTAATCTTCTTGCAGAAATGATATATTGCTTTATTTTGAGTTGGTGTGTCATGAAAGAACAAAAATATTCTTACTTGATGATACTAAGCGCTTTTAGTTGGTTGCGGGGTTACATAATTGGCAACCCGGTGACGGATAAATTATTTGACTTGAAGTCCCGGGCACCATTTTCTTATGGGTGGATATTATATCAGATGAACTCTACTAGGTTATCTTCTTATTTCATGAGAAACGATTTGCGTATTTCATTTCTACTCCTGTTATAGAATACTATTAATAGAATATGAGAGAGATCTATAGCTAGCATAGCACTCAATATTTGCTCACTGCAAAAATGTGAACCATATATTTATCATGTTGGTATGACTTATACTTCTTTATATTTTATCCTGATATAGTTGATCTAATGTCCTATGAATAGTGCGGTGAGGGTTGAAAGAACGAAATGGATATCTTATACACAATTTAAATGCATGAAATTCTTCTGAAACCTATCGGTATTAAGATCAAATGCTATCAGAAATTAAGTACCTGAAAAGACTAAACTGAAGTTAACAATCGGAGTTTTATACTATTGATATCTTCTTTCGATATCTTCTTGCAAGCTGAGCCCTCTTTCTGGGTTAAAACTTAAACTAACAAACTATGGTATCTTTCACTTTAAGCTGCTTTAAATTTGTGACCGGTAGGATTGAACTTGGATTTTTCTAACATCATGTCAAAGGTCTTTTTTGGTACACCAAAATCCGAAACGTCATACTTAAAAAGGACAAAGGAAGATTTAAATTTAAAAAGGATTGAGGGTTATAGTTTATACTCTTACAACAATCTTGAGAACACATAGGAAGATAGTGATTTAATCAATTCGAATTCTGGTAATTCCTTCAAGACGACAGGATAACATGTTCAAATAAAACATATTTCCTTCTTTATTGAGATAATTATACGTTTCCTTCCTTTTCAGGAAATTGCGCACAAGAAGAAGACTACGATGATCCTAGTCCTCAAAATTTACCTTGTTACAAGGCACTTGCTGAGTTTAAAAAGATTGGCATATATATACCCTCAAGAAGAGAAAAACAAACGAAATTAATGAAAACGTAGACAAGGAAAGAAGTTCAACAACCTTTATCCTCATTGTGCGTTTGTATGCATTCTTCTCTTGTACGCAGTTTCGTTCATAAATTTATGATAAATACATTTTGGAACCTAAGTGTCCTCCACCTTCTATGCGCACTAGTACAAAACAGATCAGCCCAAACGGTTGGAACCGTTTGGGAAAACCCCCTCCCAAACGGTTACAACCGTTTGGGCGACGTAAAACACCCGTTTGGGCTAAAGCCGTTGGGGACGAGTTATCCCCAACGGTCGCCCAAACGGTTGCAACCGTTTGGGCAAAATCCCAAACGGTTACAACCGTTTGGGATGTTGCCCAAACGGTTTCAACCGTTTGGGCTAATTTTTCGTCCAAACGGTTACAACCGTTTGGGCCAAATGTTAGCCCAAACGGTTGAAACCATTTGGGTAATTTTTCGCCCAAACGGTTTCAACCGTTTGAGCTATTTATTTTAATAGTTATATATTAAATAACATTAGAGATAATCATACAAAATATACTTTGCTAAATATCAAACGGTTCCAACATCTCACAATGAAATCAAAATATTCTCATACTTCGCTAAATATCTAATGTTATATATTCATACACAATGTTTACTCAATTTACTTAGAGACAAAACATATACATACACAATGATTATTCAATATCTCACAATGAAAAACATTCAATGTTATATATTTTTCTCTAATATCCAAAATGTCTCAAATATCCAAAATGTCTCAAACATCCAAAATAACATTAGGAGTGGCCTAATCCATCCACAGTCAAGGAACAGAAACAATTCCTCGAAGAAAGGCTAATGCCAACACGAAGCTTACAAGATTAGTGCTCAACCCATAATATGCCAATCTTTCACAACATTCATTTGCTGGAGAGGAAACGATAAGCTTGATAATGAGAATGATGCAAATTAAATCAAGGTGGCTCTAATAATTATATTGACTGTACCAAGAATGTAGGGGCAGGCTCTCCATCTTCCTGTGCTCTCTTTTACTGCAGGGTTTCCTCTCATGTCTGTGGTTCCGTCTCTTGTATATTTGTCTTCGTTGTCGCCCTCCTTGGATCCTCCTGATATTTGAGATACTGATGCATCTATTTCTGCCTTGCCCTCTGGAGGAGCAGCTGAATCCTCGTCGACGGCCCCAATCACGTCCCCCAAACTAACCTTTTCTGGGTTTTTATCCGCAGGACACATGAGCCTACTCTCGTCACCCGTGCTCGTCGGCGCTGCTGGATCCTCTACGGCCGTCGTCATGACCATGATGCATCTTCTTGCTAATAGTCTCCTTCATCTTCATCTCGGATCCTCTACGGCCGTCGTCATGACCATGATGCATCTTCTTGCTAATAGTCTCCTTCATCTTCATCTCTGGCTTCTTCACCTTGTCCTTCACTCTCTACATCATTGGCTTCTTCTCATGCCCCTGCTCTCCTATTTCTTCATCTACAAAAAGCAAAATTCGAATGAATTTATTATTACATTATTCTGAGACGAAACGGACTTTTGATCTGCTTATTGTGTGGGTGTTCTTGGTGATGAGCCTGCATCGCTTTTTTAATTTGTTAACTTCCCATTTGTTTTCAGAAGTTATTGGTGATGAGAGCAACTCCAATGGTGGTGCCAAGAGGGGTGCTCACATGAGAGAGAAGATAGCTCCCTTGGTGCAATGCAATAGCTAGAGCAAGGCTAATGCCAAAACAAAGCCCCTAATTTAGGGCACGCAGCATCAGAAATAAAATTGTTGACTAATTAGTCGCTTGCAACCAGTTTGACATTGTTGGCTATTGTAGCATTGCCTTGATTCCGGATATCCTCCCTGTAACTTACAAGATTGGTGCTCAACCCATAATATGCCAATCTTTCACAACATTCATTTGTTGAAGAGGAAACGATAAGCTTGATAATGAGAATGATGCAAAATAAATCAAGGTGGCTCTAATAATTATATTGACTATACCAAGAATGTATGGGCAGGCTCTCCATCTTCCTGTGCTCTCTTTTACTGCAGGGTTGCCTCTGATGTCTGTGGTTCCGTCTCTTGTATATTTGTCTTCGTTGTCGCCCTCCATGGATCATCCTCCTGATATTTGAGATAATGATGCTTCTATTTCTAGGAAATTTTACGAGCAAATCACCAAATATATAATACCAAAAGTAAATTGTACACTGCAACAATCACAGAGCACTTGCAATAGCATCTTTGCCTGTTTTGCATGGTGAAAATAAACTTATACACTAAAAGGTGGTCATTAGTTATCTGACAGACAAATGTAGTTTGTGAGTCGGAAAACTAAGCAGATGAGTATAATAGCTCAGCTTTCTGAATTTGCATAACCAAGTCATACATCAAGTCCTAACTAAGCAGATGAGTATAATAGCTCAGCTTTCTGAATTTGCATAACCAAGTCATACATCAAGTCCTAATTTATACACTAAAAAATATAAAGAAGAATCTACTAGAAAACTATACAAAGGTATCAATCAAACTCTTTTAGTTGCATCATTCAGATCATAATGAAGGTGATGACTTCCAAAATCCAATATCAGACCTTGCTAGATTGCCAGCAATTTAATAATAATAATAACAATAATAATAAGCCTCACCCAAATGTTACCCTTTAGAAAGCCAACAGAGTTCAGAGCATCATGGGTCAAGTCCAAAAATGACATGCTCATCATGAGGCCAGCGGAAAAACCCTGATCAGAAAAAATCAATCTAAACTGAAATCTTCCTTAAGAGCAACAGGAAAAGGGAATCAAGAATAAAAATCACCTGTAGAAGACCAAGTAATTTGAGATTGGGAGTATGACCGATAAGGCAAATAAAAAGGGTTTGATTCTTCATAGTTCGTCAAGACTCGGCATTACCTCAAACAACGAACCCTAACAACAAAACTCCCTCCACCCACTCGAGCGGAACCTCAACCGGAAGGAGGCGGAGTGGCCAAGGGAGAGGGTGAGGAGGAGGGCTCGTCGGCGGCGAAGGCGGAGGCGCCCGAGGGAGCGCCCGTGGGGATAGTCTCTGAGGGGATGGAGACGATGATGATGATGAAGAGGATGGAGACGACTATGATGAGGGATCTGAGGGGATGGAGACGACGATGATGATGAAGAGGAGGCGGTTCTTGGGAGTTTGAGATGAGGAATTTCAGAGATTGGGCTTAGGGATTTTAGAGGGGGCGGGTTTTTTGAGTTTGGGGAAAATTTTTGGGGGGAAGCCAGTTAGGAAGAGAACGGAGAAAGAGTAAATGTTTTATTTACAAAAATAACTAAAACAACCAAACGGTTTAGCCCGTTTGGGCTAGCATCCCAAACGGTTAGAACAGTTTGGACTTAGTGTTTGGGAATTCCTTTTAGCTCCCAACGGTTTTAACCGTTTGGATTTTGTTATCCCAAACGGTTTAAACCGTTTGGGCTGTATTTATTTGCCCAAACGGTTATGAGAACCGTTTGGACTGTCCTATTTTGTACTAGTGGCGAAAACCGATAGCTAAAAATAAGAGGTCACTAGGAGAAGAGGAGCAATATAGGATTGTTATGCGCCGTGCGGGAGCGTGCTCGACAATCAAACGAGTCCGCGAGTCATGGGAGAAGATTAACAAACCAAACTCGAGCACAATTCAAACAAATACGACAAACTAATTGCAAACATAGAGATATACGTGGTTCCACAATTTGCCTACGTCCATGGGGAGAGGATAGGGAGATTTCACTATTTCGAGGAGAGTACAAAATGGTTACAATCACTCAAACACTCGAACAAACCCTAACCAATGATCTCTCAACTCGCTCACAAGTTCTCCCTCTCAAAGTGCTTAGAATACTCTCTATTCTCTGATAAACCAAACCCTAAAATCGTGTTTTAATGTATATTAAAATACAAACCAAATCAGAACAGGAAATAAAGCTCAGGCCCAAACCCGACTAGTGGTCGACTGCGCCAAAGTTCGCGGTCGACCGGACAGAACAACAGAAACAAAAAAAAAATCCATTACTGGGTCCGCGGTCGACTGGACCTAACCTCGCGGTCGACCGATCAGAACTCCAGAAACTACCCTGTACTCGTACACGTTTGCGGTCGATCGCGCCAAAGCTCGTGGTCGACTGGCAAGCACCTAAATGCCTGTCTACTTCAAATTTCCTGAATATTACCAATATTTTCATATTTCTACAATTCTCCACCTCGGTGAAGTTTTCCCAAAACTGAACCGACACCAAACAATGAGCATCATTGTGTCGTCTCTCCAAACTTGGCTGCACCAATGTGATTGCCTACGTACCCCCTCTCCCATGGGATCAAGCTGTCCGTAGTTCATCCAAATGAGCATCAATGGCCTCAACAATCACGAATGTGCAACAAGTTTCAATAATGATCAAACGTGTTGCTCAGAACTACCTTTGTGAGCATATCCTCCGGATTATCCTTCGTGTGGACCTTCATAATTTCCACATCGCAATTTTCAAGAACATCCCAAACGAAGTGATGACGGACGTCAATGTGCTTCGTCCTCATATGAAAAACCTGATTCTTTGCCAAATAGATACTATCACAATAAAGAGTGACATACCACTGCGATATACTAAGTTCCTCTAAAAGTCCCCAAAGCCAAATATCCTTTCTTAATAGCCTCCGTAATCACTATATACTCTGCCTTCGTCATCGACAAAGCCACCGTAGACTGTAAGGTGCATCTCCAACACACCGGTGTACGGGTCAAACTAAACACATATCCTGTCGTAGACCGGTGCTTATCCAAATAACTAGCATAATCCAAATCAACATAGCCAATGCACAACTACCCACCTCTAGCGTCTCGCTCAATACATAAACCAACATTGAGAGTACCTCGAATGTACCTCAAAATCCATCTTACGGCGTCCCAATGGCCTACTCCTGGATCGTGCATATATCTCGAAACCATGCTCACCGCTTGTGACAAATCCGACCTCGTACATATCATTGCGTACATCAATCTCCTAACCGCATTCGTATATGGAGTCTAGAATATCAACTCTCGATCTTCAATTATCTTTGGTGAAAGGTCAGCTAAAAGTTTCAAATGAGCTCCTAAAGGTACACTAACTGGTTTCGTATCCATGCTAACATTAAACCGCTGTAGAACCTTCTTTAAATAAAACAACTGTGTCAAACAAATTCTACCCTTCTCATTATGTCTGCCGATCTCCATCCCCAAAATGCGCTTTGCCTCACTCAAATGCTTCATCTCAAACTCCTTTGAAAGCTGAATCTTCAACTCATCTATAGCGGATCTGGAAATAGAAGCAACTAACATGTCATCAACATAAAGCAACAAATAAATGTACACACCTTCTTTTAACTTAAAAAAATACACGTAAGAATCAAACTGGCTCCGAGTGTACGAATGGCCAATCAATAAACCATCAAATCGCCTATACCACTATCAAGGAGATTGCTTCAAACCGTATAGCGATCTCTTCAACCTATAAACCAACTGTTCCTTCCTTGCAGTTCAGAATCCTAATGACTGAGTCATATATATTTTTTCATCAAGATTACCATGAAGAAATATCATCTTCACATCAAACTGATATAACTCCAAACCATACTGTGCCACCAAAGCTAGCAAAATCCGAATCGAAAAGTGCTTCATCACCGGAGAGAAAACCTCATTGTAATCAATACCTTCCTCATGTGCATAGCCCTTCGCAACCAACCTAGCTTTGAACCTTACTGGAGTGCCGTCAATTCCCTCCTTCTTTGTGTATACCCACTTGCAACCAATTGCTTTCCGCCTCTTTCGAAGCTCAACAAGCTTCCATGTATCATTCTTATGAAGAGACTCCACCTCCTCCTGCATAGCTACCTGCCATGAATCAACCTCTAAAATCTACTCGGCCTCACTATAAGTAGTAAGTACCAACTCATCGATACTCTTCACCGTAAGTGCATACGTAACTACTGTGTCGGTATGCCGTGCTGGTATCCATATGTCTCTCTTATGTCTCTAAACCGCAATAAAATCCTGAACTTGAGCCATTGGTCCCTGATCCTGCACATCTATACCTGTATCCTCCTTGTCATCGCCGTGCTCGCATGGCATCACCTCAGTTAGCACTTTAATGGATATTGTACCATCTGGATAATATGAAGCTATATCGATCTCCACCAACTGTGATATCTGCTCCGTTGGGTGGCTCTCCACCTGATGGGAGCTGTGAAGCTTTAATATAGAAGCCTCATCGATCATGACATCTCTATTCAGTACAATCTTCCTATCAACTAGATCCCATAGCTTATATCCCTTAATACCACATTTGAATCCTACAAATATGGTTTTCCTAGCTCGAGGTTCCAATTTATCTATTCTAACATGATAAAATACGGGGCACCCAAATACCTTGAGATGGTCATAGTCGTGTGCTGGCTTTCCCGATCACATCTTCATAGGGGTCTTCCCCTCAATCGCAAATGAAGGTAGTTTGTTAATGATGTGGCTCGCATATGATAGTACCTTAGCCCAAAAGATCTTCTCTAAACCACTCTGTGACAATAAGCATCGGCCATTCTCCAGTAAAGACTGATTCAACCTCTCTACCACCCCCATTTTGCTGTGATGTATGGCTTGTTAGGAATCTTGACCCTAAGATTAGTTTGTTTTGATGATAACAAATATTATATGTTTTGTGTATTATGTGCTAACATTTGTTTTGCATTATCAGAGCTATATCAACAATTATATTCAAAGAGATACTCAAGACATAGATGAGTTCAAGGCAAAATGAAGCAAAGAAGAAGATATACTTTATTGTCAAAATATAATTTTATATTTTCTTTGCTTAGAAATTTGTACAAGCCTTGATCACTCATACACATGCATGTTAGACCCTAGAGGGGGGGGGTGATTAGGGTCTTATGCTAATCTAATTCGATTTTATACCAAATTAAAAACTTTATTGATTATTTAAATCTTGCAAGAGATATATAAGCCAGAATGTAAAATACAAGCACAATATAAAAGTACACAAGGCAAACTCAAACATAAGATATGATCACGGAGTTCGGTCCCCACGACCTACGTCTCCGCTCCTCATCTTGAGGAGAACTTTACTATCACGACACACCTGGTTTGGAAGCCAGAACTTCTCTACACACTCGTTTATTAAGTCAACCGACAACTCTCACAAAACCTCACAATGTACATACACAAGCTACAACCTCAAGTGTTGGTCCTCACGTATCGACTCCCTCAAGTGCTCAGAATTATCACCTCTCACTAGGCTACTGATGCCACTCCTCTCAGTATCGACTCCGTCCTCACCACACACTCCTCTCGGTGTACAAGTGTATTACAAGTGATCTCTCAAAAAGCACAATATAATAATGGTTGTTCTCTACACTTGACGAGAACTCAATTAAGCTCACTCTCACTAAATCACACACCACTACCCAACAATATATTATATGAGATATAACAAGCTCAATAAGGGTGCGTGATATATGAGTTTAAATAAATTCTAACTCAATAAGAACTAGCAATAAAATTAATAAGAAATAAATGCTAGAAAGTTGAGTTAGAAAAACTTCTCTATAAAGAAAGGATGATTTGGATATTGAGGATGAACTCCTCAACAAATGATGCAAGCTTCTCTTTGTAAAACAAACTCTTCTTCAAACCAAACTTGAAACAAGGCTTAAACACCTCTTAAACACAAAC